CTCCGGTTCTACGTAGCCCTTTGGTGCTGCGAAATCTACCTCCAGATCGGTGTCAAGAACGCTTATACCACCTCCACCTGGCGATGTCTCCATAATGAGAAGTTCGAAGATGATGCTATTGTAGCTGATCTCGATAATATCTCCTTGCGTCAGCGCTGAGAAATTTCGCAATGCTTGTTCGAGTCTAGAGCCAGAATATTAGAGGGGAAAAATGAAATCAACTAGCAGTAAACTTACACAGCCTTGGGATCCGAAATCTCGAGGAAATGGACAGATTGCGCCTGTAACTTGACTAGCTTCCCTTTCGGGAGCTCGGCACCGGTGATTCGAATTGCGTCACCCTCGTTGAGGCGGAGGGTTTTCATCATCCAGTACGGGAGGTGCACCACGCCTTCGTCTGCAATAAATTCGAGAACACCAGCGTGCGTTGAGGCAGCTGGATTAGCGGGATTGCTGAGCTTGAACATCCAGGGTGACTCCAGATCGAGAGCAGTCAAATTTGCCAGTGCAGAAGGCGGCATTATAACTGTGAATTATCATGACACATTGTTCACACATGCAAGGGTGACAACGCACTCTTGCCGCCGTAGCTTAAATTCGGCCGCTCCTTCCCTGGAAGCATTGCCACACTGTAGGCTTTAAGATACTCATCGTACGACCGCGGTGGTCGCCTAAGTTGGTGTCCACCCATGGCACCTCCAAATCCACTGTACGGTCTTGTTGATCGATGCAATAAGGATTGGACAATTGAACGACTCACCCAGCAAGCTGTGCGAATAACCCTCCAGGTCCACCAGCTCCAAAGGGGTCATTACCTCCAAACTGTGCACAGAGATGAGTATCTGACATACATATTTCAGTTATTCTGCATACCAAGTCCATTTGAGAATGAGTAAGTGGTGGTGGTTGTGAGCAAAGAGTAAGGAACGCGTAAGTCACCGCGTTTGCCCTACGCACATGGCTTACGTCACTCAGATATACAGGGTTAGGGTTAGACGCGTCCTTCATTCTCGAAGTCTACACTTTACTGCAATTACTACAAAATGGCTTCAGCACCTCAACCAAAGATGGTCGCAGGATCGGGTGTTGGCCAAAACTCAAACGCTTCATTCAATGACAAGGTCTTATTCATCACAGCTGTTCGACGCAATGTCGTTACTGAATAACGCGTCCGCAGAGCAAACCGCAGGAAGTTCGACAGTCGAACATGACTGCTGCAAAAGGTGCGCTTAGTTACTCGTACACTAACCTAATCTAATTTCATTGTGTTACAGCGATCGGAGATGTGGTACGGACATCGTTGGGCCCAAAAGGGATGGACAAGATGGTATTGTGCATTTCTCTCCCGTCGTGCAATTATCTCACAGCCGCTTTAGATTCAAACTTCCAAAGGCGAAGTTATCATTACGAATGATGGTGCAACTATTCTCCGAAGCATACAGGCTCTTCACCCCGCTGCCAAAATGGTGAGCGCTCTTCAGCCTAATTACAACATTCCGTTTCACACCATCCAACAGCTCGTCGATTTGTCAGTTGCACAAGACGTCGAAGCAGGAGATGGCACCACATCCGTGGTAGTATTGGCTGGCAGCCTATTAGGCGCTGCAGAGAAAATGCTTGCAAAAGGCATGCACCCGACTATAATCGCGGAGTCGTTCTCAAAAGCAGCCGCCAAGTCGGTTGAGTATCTGACCGAAATTTCCACACCGGTGGATTTGAATGATCGCGCTAGTCTCTTGCGCGCAGCAAGCACGTCGCTTAACTCCAAGGTATTTTGCATTTGTTTGTTTTTAGCTTTAATAAATTTATGATCGTCATCAGATCGTTTCTCAATACTCCTCAACACTTGCACCCATAGCAGTTTCAGCGGTGACGCGCATTGCAACATCTACGTCATCAAATGTCGATCTCCGCGATGTGCGCGTCGTAAAGAAAGTAGGAGGAACAATCGAGGATACCGAGCTTGTCGATGGTGTCGTCCTCAACCAGAATGTTGTCACGACAGCCGGTGGACCGACTCGCATTGAGAAAGCAAAGATCGCCATCGTTCAGTTCCAACTTAGCGCACCCAAACCTGATGTAAGACGGTCCCATTATTTTTTGAAACGTACATGACTCAATTGGTCATTTTTAGATGGACAACACAGTTGTTGTGAACGACTACCGACAAATGGATAAGATTCTGAAAGAAGAACGACAATATCTTTTGAACATGTGCAAGAAAATCAAGAAGGCGAACTGCAACGTGCTCCTCATCCAAAAATCCATCCTCCGAGACGCCGTGAACGAGATTTCGCTCCACTTCCTCTCGAAGCTCAAAATCCTCGTCGTGAAGGATGTGGAACGTGACGAGATAGAATTCCTGTCGAAAAGCCTCGGGTGCAAGCCGATCTCGGACATCGAGGCGTTTACGGAGGACAAGCTTGGGTATGCGGAGCTCGTGGATGAGGTGAGCAAGGCGGGTGCGAAGGTTGTGAAGATCACCGGTGTGAAGAACCGCGGGAAGACTGTCAGCATCCTTGCGATGGGGTCGAACTCTCTGGTTCTCGAGGAGTGCGAGCGGAGTCTGCATGATGCACTCTGTGTTGTGCGATGTCTCGTGAAGAAGCGGTGCGTTGACAAATCCACGGGAATTCAGTGATCATATTAAGACTTTTATTTAGCGCACTCATTGCTGGCGGTGGAGCGCCTGAAATTCACGTATCCCGTCTCCTTTCGCAGTATGCACATACGTTGAAGGGAATGGAGGCGTATTGTTTCCAGGCCTACGCGGACGCGTTGGAGGTGATACCGACAACACTCGCCGAGAACGCTGGGCTGAACCCCATCGCGATCGTCACGGAGCTACGGAACCGGCATGCGCTCGGTGAACGGAACGCAGGGATAAACGTTCGCAAGGTACGTTCTTCTCATTGATGGATTGGATTTTTCTGAAACAAAAACTTGCAGGGTTTGATCTCGAATATCTTGGAGGAGGACGTCGTTCAGCCACTGCTCGTCTCTACGAGTGCGCTAGAGCTTGCGACGGAGACTGTCTGCTTATTGTTACGGATTGATGACTACGTTCAAGCACGGTAGTTTGTACATTAGATATCAATTAATGAACAAGAATGTCTGCCATGATAGTGTGAATGCATCGATTTAACTGGTGACAGGGACACTGCGCGACGTCGACGCCTGTGGCGCTGCTGGCCGCCCTCGTCCCCATTTCACGGTGACACGTTCGCCGTCTAAATCCAACCCGTTTGCCCATGCTTGTGCTGCGCTCTCCGCCGACGCACGATCTTTGAAGTTGACAAATGCACATCTGCATACAAAGTTTAAAAGCGAACCAAAGAAGTGTAAGGATGTGCGAACCTAGATTTCGCGACATGTACGACTGATTTAATCTGGCCTGGGTCTACGGAGGGTATGCTCTGAACAACCTGCGTCCGGACGCTTTGTTCCGTCGCGGATTGGGGGAGCGATGATAGGAAGAGTGACGTCTGCTCACACAGTTGACTTAAACCAGGCTATGGATTACGAATGAACGTACGATTGACGTGTCCTCTGGAGGCTTCAGTCCTTGCGAATCTGCATGCCCAACCATGATCTTTTTCGCGACAGGGTCGTTCCGGCCGTAATATCTGTCCTGTATATTTTGTTTTGACAACTCGTTGTCGACGGGCTTCTCGTGCCTGGGGCAGCAGGGTCAGTATCGCCCGTGTGCAAGAGCCGACGCGAAACGCACCGGTACGGACACTCGTCGCCTCGCGTACATTCTCCTTTAACAAAGAATGAACAGATCTTTGGTCTGTTGCGCTTGTAATACGGATCGGTTCGCGCCAGCTCCTTCAACATCTCCTTTCCCGCTGACATTGCTCGCCCAGAATCCAAAAGTGTCTTGTTTCCATCGAGCTGAAATCGCGTTTGTCAGCGGTCACAACTCCACAATGAAAAGCGTACCTTTCCGTCCATGTTCTGCGCATAGTACTCGCGATTGATGTCGCTGTTTGGCGCCTGCATTTTGAGAGCCAGCGCGGTGTCTCGCACTTGCGTGGGGAGGTGATACTCGAGATCGAGCAGGCAGGTTTGGCACACGTTCTTGATCTTTGCGCAGGTCTGGCAGATGACGGTCGACTTGAACCTCATTCCCGAGCCTGGATTCCAGCGAAAGACCGTGAATGGCCGTGCACACGCTCCGCATGATCGCGCATACTCTTGCTTGGACTGTGTCAATGGAATGAGTGGTGGGTAATGGCCATGGTTTCAGAGCACACACCATTCGAACAAACGCATTGTCGCCGAGACCTGGAAAGTGTGAGTTTTAGGGAAACTTTGAGGCAGAGATCAGACTCACACGTCTCACACAGAATGGGAAACTCGCTCTGCTCCCAACCAGCTTTGTTGATGTCGGCCTTTGGTGGCATGGCGGTCAGTGGTTAGTCGGAAAGCAGTGGTGTGACTAAGCAATTTGAGGTAGAATTTCACACCACCGAGTCAGCGCGCGGAATAAAAATATCCGCGATACGACTAAATTATACAAAAGTAATGCCATGAGCCTGGTTTGACGCAACCTTTACTCCCAACTGAGCATATCGGAACTATTTGCGACTGACACAAAACGTAATGCCATGATCCTGGTTCGAACAGGCGATGCTCTCCCAACTGAGCTTATCATCGGAAAAACAATAAAAATACTTGCGGCACCCGCACCATCGCAAAACAAATGCCATGAGCCTGGTTCGAACAGGCGACCTTCAGAACCTCAGTCTGCTGCTCTCCCAACTGAGCTTATCATCGGAAATAAAAATACTTGCGACACCCGGATGGTATGACTACACGACAAAAAATATATGCCATGAGCCTGGTTCGAACAGGCGACCTTCAGAACCTCAGTCTGCTGCTCTCCCAACTGAGCTTATCATCATAAGTTCGGCCGAGTTCGCCGAACATGTGAGCGGAGTTCGAAAAACTTAGAAATAAAAATACTTGCGGCACCCGCCCCCCCGCAAAACGAATGCCATGAGCCTGGTTCGAACAGGCGACCTTCAGAACTTCAGTCTGCTGCTCTCCCAACTGAGCTATCACGGCTTAGGATATCACGAATGTGCAACATATTTATGCAGACTTTTTTGGTCGGCGTACATGAGGAAACACGGAAAGTCGAAGAAGAACGAGAAAAGACGAAAGTGGCGAAAAGCGGCGGGAAGATCCAAACTGACACACATCAAAACACGTCAAAACATACCTGAAGACACTGGAAATAGAGCGGGGAGTTGCGAGAATGCTTGGGAGATGTTACGAAGGAGGAGAGGGTAGAATGTGGCGGTGGCGGTGAAACAAAACGTCAAGTCGCATTCCCCGTTCTAAAACTATGCGAAATCACTCACACATAAGCCCCCCTCCATTGTATATCACTTTGATCAAGTCCCCCTAACGTTGAGCAAAGAAATGAAGTGATGAGTCGACGACGCAGGGCCGCTTTGGGAAGAGAGGTGACAAGTGTGACAAGTGTGACATGTGAATGCATGGGACACGATCATGCAACTTCAACGAACCTCACATGTAATTTGAACATGTCAATAGGTAAACGTACCATTTCTATAACTTCGTGCACTTTCCGCTTTCCTTAGCATTAGGGCATTCTCGAGATATTCACCTCAAATCCCAATTTGGATAGGTCATGTGATGCATTTCGTCAATTTCAAAATCTCGTCACCACAACACTCACACCGTCAACGTGTCAACATCCACGGCATCGACTCGACGCACCAACATGTCCGCGACACCACTGTGCACCCCGTTGGCGTGGCAGACGACCTGACCGGAACCGGAGTGTCGGACGCTTGGCTCTGGCATGTGTGAACACGATCAACGGACTCATGGAAGCCATTCAGCATTCCCCGTAGTCGCTTCAAGTTTTTGTCTATCGCGGTTCAAAAACCACCAATTGAAATATTTGTCCGAATGATTGGGGTGAGTAGTTGTGATGTCCGCGTGTTCGGGGTAAGTCTATTCATCTTTTGCATTGATGTGCGCTTATTATTTGTCTTCATCAGATCTCACAAATTCGTACGCGTCGCCACGACTGACACGTCTACCGTGTGCTCCCCCACTCACTTAGAGTCAGTGGTGGATTAAAACATATCCGACTCACTCAGAGTCAGTCGGGTACATGTTTCACGGACGGCGACCACACACTTAGAGTCTGTGGTCAGCCAGAGCACGTTGCCCCACTTGTCACCAATCTGGACCCATGCTCAGTGCTCCATCCACGTCCCTCCGCGAGCCATCTACCAAGATGCACCACCCCCGAACAACCAACCAACTCGTCGTCACCACCAGGAATGGCATTCCTTCGAACTCGCGCCGTCATTCCCTCGAGATCTAAAGTCTTCGAGTGAAGATTTGAAGTCTTCGATAGCCTTCTAACTGTTCCTTGTAGATCTTCAGAATGCCATTATTTTTATCGCATCTTCTCTCGAGTCTGATCACCGGCACATTCGGCTTCGACGGCTTCGACGTGCCCAGGCCTCAATGCCTTCAAGGAAATCGAATTGTCTAATCCAGACGTCAGGGTCCAAACACCCATTGACGCGTCTGTTCGTCGACGTCACATATCCCCAACGTCTTTTGTCCACTCCCCTCACTCACATTTTCCCCTCCTTTAAGCTCACCCACTTTCATTTCGAAAATGGTCTGTACTCGCGTCAATTTCAACGCGCTATTCACTGACGGCTTCAGCAGCACCACTCTGACCGCTGCCAATCTTTTGCAACTGTATCAAATGCTCATGAACGCGCTATTACTGATGATCTTGACGAACCTGTACGTTCTACACTCATACACTCACCACGTACTCATTTACAACTTAAATCTACGCGCTCCTACGTGTTCCCTACGCGTCTTGCAGGCGACCGCTGAACCGAGTCGACTACCTACGAAACGAACGCGCAATGCTATTCTATCTGATGACGAGGCGAGTTTCGATGCTTCGTACCGTGAATAACACCAAACATTCAAGCAGGAATACGACCTGGACTCCGCAACCACCACTGTACGTCGTCCCGTTCTCATTCGTTGTGCATATACTCACGCCTTGTAGGCTGGCCGAATTGCTCATAATAAACAATCCATCATTATTGACTCAGACGACGAACCCCACTGTAACACCAGCAAGACGTTGGCGACAAACCCTGCACCCCAACAGCGACATTCCATTGCAGATTATTTCGGTAAACCCGTAAGTCGTCAAGATGAATTCTCAATTGTACCAAATTAACCGATTACTTAGGTGCAACCTATCGCCAGTTCAAGCAAACTTACGAAGAACGCGACCAACCACGTAGCAAAGAAAATTAAACGCACGGAAACTGTACGTACAAATTTTGATAGCACAGATTAAGGGCCGTTTAACGAAGTGTCATTTCGTTCAAGAATTCTAATGATATCATCGACCTCGTGAGTGTTGAATTTGCTTTCCAAGTTCAAATATTAATCATCTCGCAGACAAACTCGGACAACGACATTGTAATACCAAACAAGAAACGTGTAACTCTCATTGTGAGTTTCGATTTCATTTCATTAGTTAACCACTAATTGTATTGCAGAGCAATGACGACTTGGGAGACCATCACGGAGACGATACCCCACTAAAGAAGACAAAATTATCCAAGGTAACTGTCATGTAGGCTTCACGGTTCATTACTCATCGTTCAACAGAATAATAATGACTCTGCTAATCATAATGCCGGGTTCATCAATATATCCACCGTTGAGACAGCGTTTGGGGCTTCGAGCAGCAAAGTCACACTGGAGATGAGCAACCAGTCCGTGTTTGAACGTGATGCAGTGAGTATCATCGCATTTCGATTCCACAATCTATCTCAACACTTCATCAGAGCACGAATAACTCTCTTGGCGAAGAGACAGGACCAAAACAGCCCGTTGAACGTCGGAAAAAGAAAATACCCCAGGTTTGCGTTCTCGTACAGTCGTTTACACTCACCTCTTAACACCATCACTCAGACCCAAGGAACGCGCGATCGAGCAAATCAGAAACGCGTAGCCGCCCGCCAAGATCCCGCTCACCAGAAGAAGGTGGCCGAGCAACTCGCGGCCAAATTAGTGGAGTCTAGCGGGATGGATGCGACTGTGCTCGCAAACATGTTTAAGCAGCGTGTCGCCCACCAGACTGCGATACTGTCAGCCACGTCTATGCCTTCGCCAACCTCACCCATCGCAATCGTCAAATCTATTGTTGCTGCTGCACGGCGCGAAGAACAACTCGACGGCATACCTGCGAATAGCCCTGTCTGGCGTCACCTCAAACCTGTCGCACATTTTATGGTGGATTGTACGCGCAACCCCTTCTCATTCGACGTCGCCAGCTACGTCTCAAGTGGAGTCCTCACTCAGCAAAAACGAGCGCTCAGTCAACGACGTGCTGAATATTACGTTCGCATTGTCCCCTTTTCGTCCACCGCTGATTTACGATCGGCAATCGTGGATTATATCATGGCCTTCCCGGCAGATCTCCCTATGGCCGTCGTTTGGCTCTGTAGGCTGGGCATGTCGCCTTGCGACGCCAAAGCCGTAGTTGCGTCATCACTCCAACGTGTTGGGTGGGGAGACGCGGCGAATATCTTGATGGACCTTCTCGATGACAACGTGTTGCATTCACTCAACCTCGGTATACCCGAAGACACTATTGTGCATATGCCCTACGTCGGGTATAGCATTGCTGGTGATCCAGAGTCACGATTGGACAGTGACACAAATGGCGGACTACATCGACGATTCATCAACTTCTGTGCAACAACGAACACAAAAGCTGCAACCTATCGGTTCAAGATGTTGGATCTGGCCGTTGAAGGACCTCTCGCAGTTCGTACTGACCGGCGCGTTGGCGATGTCGAGGCGTGCCTGATACATTGTTTTGCTCTCAATACGTTAAACTCTGCGCGCGGTGGATTTATGCCTCATTTCACTCCTCGTCCCGACCATCGCTTGATCGTAGACGCCGCCCTCCGCGCTGCCGGTCCGGCAACATTTCTGCAGTCGGTCTCTGCTGCTCTTAGCAAAAAGGTTTCGGCATTGGTTGACGATGAAGTCGATAGTTGGCAAGGGACAAGTTCTTCCGTTGAAACCATTCATGACAATGCCATCGCAGACATAAAGAAGACATCGGCCTCTGTCGCGCGGCAAACAAATGGCGAGGTGGTAATGGTGACTTTGATGAAGGATATAACGAAGGAAGCTCACACCGGCTCAGTGGGAGGAGTATACGATGCTACGGCTGGCCGAGGTCTACGTCTCCATCGTCACATCGTCTCTCTTATTTATCCGGAGGTCCCTGAGCATGGGGATCTTGGCGTTGAGCAGATCGCGCAATGGTTCGGTCCACGCCTTAGTTTTTGGCGTGTCATTCTGGAGCATATTTGGTGGATGTGGTCGGCCCTATTTCTTTTCAGATATCTCTTCGTGCTCCGACCACTTCTTATCGTCACCCACTCCAGTCAAATGGCGCGCTTAATTCGCGAAAATACCCTCCCCAAAGTCTCTAAAGCATTCCTGGATGAACAAGATGAACACGCTCGGATTGACTTCCTTGATGGCCGGAGTCGAGGCGCTCAAGACCTCGAAAATGCATTCACATACGACACCTCAGTCAGCGATAAGAAGTCACTGAAGGAGTATTCAACCTCTGAATACATTGCCTGCATTGCCGTGCTCTCGATCATCCGCTATGGGTCCAGACATGGAGATATTGCAATCAATGTCCCCAGTCGTCATCCAGGAAGTATTAAGTACGACCCAACATTTGAGGTTCTACGCACCACCCTGCAGTTCCTCACTCAAGCCGTTATAGAAGTGACAAGGATCATTATTGCGAAGGCCCAAATGGAGGATCCGTTTCAGAGGGTTAAAGGCCAGGACTGGAATTGGATGGAGGCGCGAATGGCAGAGGCCGAACAAATCATATCGGAATCCGGTCTTCGACAGGCAGTGGACAAAGTCAAGATATGTCTTCACGCATTAGAGTCCACCATCGTGCGACTCCGCTCAGCCGCGTCTAACTTGAAGAAGCG